CTGGCAGGAAGGATTTATGTCACCCAGTGAGTCAGGTTTGAAACCAATTCATTTTGATTTTTAAAGAGATTTTTAATGGGATAATCCATTCAGGAGACTTTCTAACCAGGGATAGAAACTAGGAGCACGGTTCACATTCCGCCGTGTAGAATTCTGGACTTGGTCAAGGTTGGCGGTTCTTACTGGCGCGTCAGCTACAAGGAGATCCGGGGGAAACTATTTTTGTGTTCACCAAATCGCCATCACCCTTTGTGAAACTGTGGAAGAATGCAAGTCTTCGAGGACGAGCGCCATCCCTACCGCCACATAATTTCTTTGTAGGAATTTACCAACGCCTTCGTCACTGGGAAACTAAGAGCGTGTTGCAAATGCCAAGGACAAGTTAAGAGCGTGTTGTAAAATTCCACGGACAAATGAAGAGCGTAGCATCAACGTCGGGTTGCAAATGCCAAGGAAAAGGTTAAGAGCATGTTGCAAAATTTCACAGAAACGTGAAGAGCGCAGCATTGACGTCGTGTTGCAAATGCCAAGGAAAGGTTAAGAGCGAGTTGAAAAAATCAACAGGAAAGTGAAGAGCGTAGCATTAATAGCCTGCTGGAAATTGCAAGGAAAGAGTTAAGCGCGTAGTATCAAGAATGTGTTGTAATTTCTAATGAAAGTTAAGGCTGTATCAAGTTATGTGCTGTAAATCAAGATCGTGGTATAGCATTTGCAATGTACGCCGTCCATCAATCACGTGATTGCCCACCCTTCTCCGACCCCCATCAACAGTCAAAGAAAACAAAAAAAATCGCCCGAAAACGCACAATTCACCACGGCGGAATACACACCGCAGGCCAACTAGTTCGTGGGGTTGCAGTTAGGGTGACTTTCATGGATACAAGTACCTGATATACCATGGGGTTCATAAGTTGGGATATATAACCGATATAACTATGGTTACACAACCACTTGTAACTGCACCCACGAGTACCGCTATAAGATGAAACATCCTATCGGGATGTAATAGGAAGCAGAATGGGCTGCTGTATGCGACCCGCCGTTTTTTTGATATTTCAATGAATACTATTCATGGATATTATGAAGATGCCCTTTAATTTATGGCTATGAAGAAATGGGAACAAATTGGATTTGGGAGACGGGGCTTGTTGGTCAGAAAAGGACGGGTGTTTCGATGTGGCTAAAATGTGGACCCCGTTTCCCTCTGCCCAGTATTGTGCTCTTGATGAAGTCAGTCATATAGTAGGGATATAACCACCGGAAATCAAACACGCCATGGAAAACAATCATCTTAGTCGGTAATTCACCTGGAAACGGGCCATTTTCCAAAGCTCTGTTGGATTACCACAGGGTAACCACCAGAAATAGAGATATCATCCAGAAATGGTGGTTCAGTTGTTATTTCGCGTCATTTTAACCTTAAGGCAAAGCATTTAACGGAGATATAACCAGGATAAATCCAGCAATATGATGTCTTTCAAAACCCTGGTTGATTAGTCATTTGTGCGGACTTCAGCATCAAGTACAGGGGTTTTACCCATCAAACATGGGGGGGCCATAGATGGTTGATGAGATTTTTCAGGGACTATTATATAACCTGCCCTTTATGCACTGGAAATTATCGTAATCCATGAGCTGGGGATCCACACATAACCAGTATTGATCTCCTGAAAACTTGGATATCTCAAACCACTCTCGAAATTCCAATATGACAGACTATATGTATATATGTATATATATATATGTATATACATATATACATACACACCCAAAAGAAGCCATCAAAACCGGTCCTTGGATCCAACGATTCCTCGCCGCTTTTTTGACGGCAGATTCTTGAGGAAGTGATCCACCAGGAACAAATCAGCGAGATCACGGAATTCCTGGAGGCGCGGCGCCGGGAACTGCAACTCGAAGACATCGATTTCTCCAAGCTTCGGCATCCACCTGACGTACCCAATGATCCTCGGCATCACCTGACAGGGTCTTGGATGGGAGGAAAGTCAGGTACCCGGTTGTTTTTTGTAAAGCAATACTTAAACCTATAGCGCAAGATCATTCAACAGTTGATTCTACAAGTAACATAGAGTTCATTACTATACTATGAAATGACATATCCCGTTCCATCATCACGTTTTCACTTGGGCCCAGCTAAGGCACCCAGAGACGCTTGGCTGCAATCTGCCTCCAATTGAGGATGGTTTATGCCATTTTCTCCCATTTTATGCCATTCACTTCTGGTAAAGCTGCTATAGTTGGGGGGGGTCATTTTCGATTCCACCACATTGCCAATATGGACCCAGGCATGATGATCCTGATTTTTTGGGATGTGAAACCACCCAACCGTCCCAACTTTGCCATGAAGTTCCTGCTTCATGGCCTGGCGAAGCACAAACACGAATCCACTATCAAGACCTAGATGGACGCTTCTAAACCCATTGGATGTTGGATTTTGTTGGATTATCATAATTTCCCATAATTTGTCCGTTAACATTGCCATAATTTGCGGCACAGTATGCCCCTGGTCTTCGCATATTCTTGGCGTGTCAACCAGGAAGTGGAGCGGTTGAAGGCAGCCTTGGCAGAAGAACAGGAGAGAGCGGGAAGCTGAGAACTGCCATGACCTGCGTAAAGTGTGGGCAAACCTTGTTTCGGGCAGTTGGAAAGATTAGTGTCTGGAAATCAAGTAGGATATTGTACAGTATGTATAAATAGTTTTCAAGTGGCAGGGTACCTAAGATTAGCCACGATACGTGGGTAGACTTAAATGGGCAGATAATCTACAGGAATGGGGGTTTCGCCAACACTAGCTAGAGATTCAAGCATGACCAGTCAGAGCGAGGAATGATGGGCCACAACCTCCAGATCCGTTCTTGGGTGGGTAGAACTGTCCCTCTTTGTGGAGGAGGAAATATAGTTGATTGAGATGAAATGGGGCCGCCACTTTTCATCAGAGTAGGGAGTCCGCACAAGAATTCTGTTTCTCACATCCTGTTTACTCCCCCGTTTACTCCCTTGTCTCGTTTCTGGCAGGGCAACTTCTGTTTCAATCCATTTTCATATTTTCTGACGTTTCTATATGGGTTTCTTGGGTTGAGTCACATAGTATATACTGCAGTTTATGGCCGTTTTCATGAGGCACACGTAGCGTTTGAACCCTTAGATTCTTTTGGGATCTGCAGGTTCCTAATTTTGAGACATCCCAATTTTTCCCTCCTGGCTGCTGCCCTCTGGTAAATTGACGAAGGGATATGGAAAACAATGCGGAAAATGATCTACATTCTTGGTGGGTTTTCCGCAGCTCAATGTTAACTTATGGGTGTGCCCTCTATTAATCCCCTATACAGACCTATACATGGTTGGGTTAGGTCCTGTTGGATTCCCATTGGCTATTCATAGATTCATAGATATTTCATAGCAGTAATACCGCACAAGGCTTTGGCAGAAGTTTCAAAGATAGGTAACCTACAGGAGAGGTTTGTTGTTGTGACGCAAGGATGGCAGAGCGAACCCTCTGTTATGAGATTTTCTGAGCCACAGAGGATGTGCGAGCAATTGCTATTGTTTCGTGTTTTTTCCCCACCTGCCAGGTGAGGGTTGTTATATTATCAGAGTTGTTCTCCTCCTCAGCTAGCTGTCCTCCTCGTCCTCTTCCTCCTCCGCCTTCTCCTCCTCCTCTGCCTCCTCCTCCAGTTTCTCCTCGACCATGTCTGCATCAACTTCCACCTCAACTTCCGCCTTGCCAACTCTTCGCCAAGCTCTTTGCCAACTTCCCAGCTCAGTGTGCACCGCTGGACCTCAACCTGGGACCAAACCAGCTAAGTGTGCACTGCTGGACCTCAACCTGGGACCTTCCCAGCTCAGTGTGCACCGCTGGACCTCAACCTGGGACCTTGCCAGCTCAGTGTGCATCGCTGGACCTCAACGGCCAGATAGAATGCCAGAAGAGATGCCAGATAGAATGTCAGATAGAATGCCAGAAGATATGCCAGATAAAATGCCATGAGATATGCCAGATAGAGTGCCAGAAGATATGCCAGATAGAATGTTATAGAAGATATGCCAGATAGAATGCCAGAAGGTATGCCAGATAGAATGTTAGATAAGATGTCAGATAGAAGGCCTGAAGATATGCCAGATAAAGTGCCAGAATGTTTGCCAGATAGAATGCCAGAAGATTTGCCAGATAGAATGCCAGATAGAATGCCAGAAGATATGCCAGAACATATGCCAGAAGATATGCCAGGTAGAATGCCAGAAGATATGTCAGATAGAATGCCAGAAGATTTGCCAGTAACAAAATGTATAAATGTCATGGTGGGGATCACACGAAGTAAAGTCATGGTGGGGATCACACGAAGTAAAGTAATTTTGGCTCTCTCCCTCTCTCTCCCTCTCTCTCCCTCTCTCTCCCTCTCTCTCCCTATCTACCTGTCTGTCTGTCTGTCTGCCTGACTGTCTGTCTATCTACCTGTGTTGCTAGATCTCTTTACCTCCAACTCCATTTCCATCTCTATCTCTGCCTTTTTCTCTATCTTTATCTCGATCTCTTTCTTTGTCTATCCATGTATCTACCTTTGCATCTAGCTGAAATGAAGCCATCCTGCGAGACTTCCTCAATTTTTTAACTTGACAACATCAGAAACAAAGCAATTCAGCGAGACGTCTTCAATTTTTGAATCTTGGCAACGGCAAGAACGAAGCAATTCTGCCAGACTTCTTCGATTTTTGAATTTGACAACGTCAAAAACGAAAATTGTACGTGACTTCCTTCCAAAATGGAAAGTTGAGTGCAGAGCTGACAGCCTCGTACCAATATGATTTTTCCATCCCATCTGTTTAAAGTACTGCCCCTGCCACGAAACAGTGAGGCCAGGTCAAACAAAGTGCTGCACCTGTCACGCAAAATCACCCTAGACACCTTAGCAAACCTGAAGAGCTGATGCTTCAAAATTGAACCTTTCTCAGGAAATCAGCGCTCTGACCTCCTAACATGTCTGACGGATATGCCTCTTGTACCGCGCCTGCCACGCGAAATGCATCTTTGCAGATCCTCTTCAAACGTCCCACGCCTTCTATCGTTTTTGGAGCTGCTACAAACCTTCATGTTTTGCTCACTTTTTTTGGCAAGGTGCGGAATCCGTTGCGCCTGCCACGAAAAACGATGCTTGAACATTCAAAAATGGTCTGAATGTGGTGGGTTTTTACCATTTTGACTTCGAAATGTGCTTCGCGCCACAACGGGGTGCACCTTTTTAAAATCTCAACATCAAAAAGTGTTCCGGCATTGAGGTGTTTTTACAATTTTCGCTTCGGGAAATCTGCTTCGGGTCACAACGGCGTGCACTTTTTCTATTAGTGAGCTGCGAAAATTGCTCCGATCATGCGGTGTTTTTAGTGTTTTGACTTCCAAGTTTGCTTCGCGCCACAACAGCGTGATCTCTCATGCCGCAAGATGGCCCCGCACCCGCCGCTTTGGCGAGGCTACTTCTCGACCCTCCGGAGCCACAAAACATTGGAAAAACATATATAGTGGTTCCCAACTTTTCTACCTTTTGGCGCGCCTTGATCTTCTTTTGACTTCGAAACTTCTTTCGGTTAGAAAGGATGGGGCAGGGACTACTAAGAGCATGGGATTAACTCTTGAATGCTAGCTAGCTGTTATCCCATTAACTACTTTTATTAGCTGCCAGATTTAGGTTTGCCTGAAAATGGGCTACCCCAAAGATCCAATGGATTAGCAGCATTTGCCCTATGAAAGTGAGCATTTATGGTAGAAACACAGTTTTCACGCAATCTATCCAATTATTATCCTCTAAGCTATCCCGGATTGCCCATATAATTGCTGATTATTGTGGTCGGTTGTATCATATCATATTCAGATTGATGTTCCTAACATCCTCAATGCGATGGGTTTTTGTGGGGGTAAATCCTCCCCCCATCAAGTTTAACTACTAGATGTTCCATCTTCATTGGGGGGCCTGAAAATTTCTTGACGGCCTAGGTCTCATCCGCGGAACGCAAATTGGTTAAGGGCTGGTCTGACCAACGCGCCTTGGGCGATGTCTTGAGGACCCTTGAGGACCCCTTGAGGACCCCTTGACGTGGTGACTTTCATGGCTATGACCATGGGCCACCATGTATTGCCACTTATAACCGGGAACTGCACCCCCAAAGATGGGTCAAAACAGTCAACTCTGCGTGTAGATTTGGTGACTTTGGATATTTTTTCAGTATGAACCATCCATTTGTCTGATTTGAGTATTGTCCGCTCAAGTTTCGGTATTTACCATCCAATTTGTTGGGGTACCAAGTTGGTGAAACTTTGGATAAATATTGCTAAACAATAGGCAAAACATGTAGTTTTCTGGGTCTTGATTTTGATCCTGTACAGTACGAACCATTAAATTCTTTGGATACCCAATTTTGACCCCATAAGCAGATCAATGGAAGACAGGAGATCACCATGGATGTGCGGATTTCAGCATTTTCTATCAATTCTTATACCTCTATTTGAATAGAAAAATTGGGCCTTGGGCTGTTAGTTTCGCATCTCAGGTGCGATTGACTTGAAATGGCAAGCAGAAGTAGCAGCCAGAGACGAAAGCCTAGAAGCTATGCAGAAGGAAGTTTCGAAGGCTTATGGGATGCCCAGTCTTGTGCTGTTTCAACCAGAAGTCCAGAAGGCAAAACATTCACCTCACCAAGAAAGGGTTTAGACAAGTCATTTGCGTATATACATTTATAAATATGTATACTGTATACATATATCCATATGTGCATCCCAGGAATGGTCAGCGGGTAATAACAATGTCATACTGAGTCACATTCCAATTACATTTGGAACATCCCAGTTATATAGCCACAGGTGTCATCCATAGCAATGGAAACTCACCCATTTAATTCGATGATCTTACCATAGAAAACCTCTATGGCCTACGGGGATTTCCCAGCTTTCTTAACTATGTTTGATGACATCAAAGGGTACGGTATAGGTTTCCTCAACCACTTGCCATGGCTGGGTCCTGCAGCACCAGGCCGAATGGTGGGCCTCGCTTTCCAGCTCTCCAGAACTCAAGGCGATTCCGCCAGTGGAAGATCTGAATATGATTCATGGTGATTTAATGTGATTTAGTGTGATTTAATGGTGATTTAATGGGATTTAATGTGATTCATGGGATTGAGAATATTAATCTCAATCATGTTGGGTTAACCAACCATTTCATGGAGATTTTAGGATTATAAAACCAACCGTACCGAGGATGTTAGGAACATCATTCTGAGTATTGTATAATATCACCAACAATCATCAGCTATATGGATAAACTGGGATACACCGCAGATATCATGGGGATTTCATAGTAGTTCTAGTAATGACACTTACGATAAACCAGTGGATCTATGTTTACCCCAGGGTAGCACCAGGACTTGGTCGGGCTGAAGACGGAGTTGGAGGAAGAGCGAGATAAGAACCTGCGAACTGAGAGGTGCAGGGCCGAGATTTGCCTGGATTTCTGGGAAATCTCTGATTTATAGATGCAATGCAGAGTCAACTAAAAATATGGATGGACATGGTGAGATTTAGTGGGATTTCAATGGGATTAATGATTAATGGGATATACCTCCGGTGTTATCAAACGTGGCAATGGCAAATCCCCCGGTTTAGGTCGATGATCTTCCCAGCGAACGAAACCTCCATGGCTAGTTGGATGATGCATTGACCAGCGATTTTCATGTTGATCACTGGAACAGGGGACCCACTACATGGGGGCCACAATGAATGATATAGTATAGTATTGTATATTTTGTGTAAACATATAGATCAAATACCTAAGCCGACTAAGCCAAATTCTTTTGGCTGGTGATATTCCAACTTTGGCAGATCAAGAAAACTGGGTGAAGATTGCATCAGCAGATATGGGGAACATGGATAGGAACAAACAATACTCCGGCCACTCAGTATATGTATGTGTCGGTTTTTGGGCCTCTCTCTCTCTCTCTATATACATATATAATGTATATTCAATCTATCTAGATGTGGGATATACTGATATACTGCAGGAGCATCCCTTTTGAAGGACTGGCTCAGAGTCATCCATCAACCCCCCCTAATCCACTCAGGTGGTGGTCAAGATTTCAGATCCAGGGAAGCATTGTCACGTCTAGGTACTTCAACCAAGTTTGGGGTACAGAATGACAACCCAATCCCTTAAATAAGCTATAAGACATGATGTTTTGATCAACAAGTGTGTGGCCCCAAATGCTTTTATGACTTTTTATTTTCATCACTTCAAGAATCCAATGAAGCGTTCTGAGCTGACCCTTTGGTAATCTAAGGCAATGGACAATTCCACCATCGGATAATATTGGGCATCTTCCCACAGTTTTTCGGAGTTCGCCAGTTAGGTTGGTGTACCAGAGGGATCAGTCCCCCCAAATTGACACATGCAGGCGACTTGAAGAAGTACAGGCGCGTTGAAAAACTTGGGGAGTTCCCCAACCAGCCAACGAATTGAATAGTCCTGGCTGGCAATGATAGGTCTGGCGGTCTGGCGCTTTGGGAGTTATGGGGTTTTGATGTGAAAGTAGCCGAGGAGCCTCTGAACAAATTCAAGAGAACAGGCTTGGCATTCTTGAGCATACCCAGTCTGAGAAATCGCCAAGTAGATCTGGCTCCATGTGGCCCACCAAGTTGACACATGGTACACTTCAGGGTTCTTCTGAATTTTGTGGCATCCCCTTGGCCAGGCTGATTCAAAGAAAGGGGAGTGCGAGAAGTTGCAGGTCTCAGATCGGGAGACCATGGATCTTGGGAATGGGAGTTAAGCCTCTATGGCTTGGGTGGAAGTCAGTTTGCAATCAACATCTATCAATCTATTCACGGCAAAGTTCCCAGTCTGGGTATGACTGCATTTACATCTAGTCGGGGCCCATGATTGTAGCCTTAAACGTCCACCCCAAGTGGTGCCATATGACTTGTAGGTGCTTTCCCGGGGGTGTAGTCAAGGTTCTAAATGGGTATAACGGTATAAGCATGGGATTTAAACCCCCATAAGTTGGAAGTTGGGATATACCCCCCCATGAGTTTGGTGAAATATGTCCACTTATAACCGGAACAGCACCCCCAAGGTAGCACCTCGTTTCGGCAGGCCAGCTTGAACAAGGAAGAGGCGAAGCGGGTGAAGCGGCAAAGCTGGCTGGCAGACTGTGGCTTTGGGGTGGGAAGCTTGTCCATTTGCGAAGCTACCAAGAACTCATATGGATGTGTCTGAATTCATAAAAATTGCCATCCAGAATGGTATATCCTATTCCAAGACCTAGAACCTTAGGAAAGCACCAAAAAGAAGGCCAAACTTCGGCAAAGAATCTGGGATCGGGAAAATCTTCCCCATATTGCCAACTTGCTGTTGCATGAACTACGTATTCTTTTTTGAGGTGGTTGTCTACCCATCAACATTTCTGGCTGCAGGGCCAATGATTGCCAGCAAGATCCCACATGGAATCTATAAAAGCAGGTATTCTGCCCCCAAAGATCCCCTATTGTGCCCCAATTTTATTGATAAGTCCTCATGTTTGTGAGGTTTACTACTTGTGATTGGCTTTACTGTTGAAAAAACCACATCTTGGATGGGCCAGCTGACAGGCGCGTCATTTGCAGCTCCAGTTGGCACTGACGAAGGCGTTAAGCACATTTTCATTCCTGAGCAACTGGCTTTAGATCGTCCCAAGTTGGTACTATACTATACAGTTGCCGAATGTTAGAAGTGGGGAAGTGGGGCGGCACCCCTGCAGAAATCAGCTCCGTGGCAATTGAGCACCCCCCCATTTTCCATTGAGGTTACTCGACCATGGCTATGACCATGGCACCCCCAAGTTGGGAGATAACTAGTTATTATTATTATTATTTTTATTAACCACTCACAACTGGAACTGCACTTCCAAGCAGTCAACCACCAAGCTCCATGATTTTCGAAGTGCCTTAAAAAGATTGTCTCTGAATCATCTAAGTGCCCATGACTCAGACCTCAAGGCGCAGATCGAAGATGAAACGCTCCGGAACGCAGACCTGGAGGCAAGGACTTGGTCAACGATGGATGGCTACCAAAAATGAACCAAATTTGTGGGTTCAAAATGGAACTCCATTTTGAGCCAGAATAAGACCAACCGCTTATGGAAATCCCTCTCTCTATCTATCTCTGTCAATCCCTATCTATCTCTGTCAGTCTCTATCTATCTCTGTCTCTATCTATCTGTATCTATCTCTATCTATCTCTATCTGTCTCTATCTATCTCTATCTATCTCTGTCTATCTCTATCTATCTCTATCTATCACCCTATTCTATTCCATTCCTTTCCATTCTATTCTGATTCAATTCAATTGAATTCAATTCTATTCAATTCAATTCTAATTCAATTCTATTCCATTTTATTCTATTCTTTTCTGATCTTTTCTGTTCTATTCTATTCTTTTCTATTCTAAATCAATTCTATTCTTTTCTATTCTATTCTATCTATCCATCTCTCTCTCTCCCTCTCTCTATCTATCTCCTGCTACGTACATATGTGATATATGTGTGCATGTCTATAATTCTTCAATATACTATGTATATACACGCATCTAGACTGCGATCCGATGTGCATCGAGCGCTTGAATTAGCATTTTCCTCATTCAAATGGCATAGATTGGGAGCCCATCCTCCGTTTTTCGACAAACACAAGTATGACATTGCTCAGTGTATATCCAGGTATATCCTGTTATATAACGATTAAATTTCATTTTGGTGAGTGAACATCGCTATTTTGTCTTTTTTAACCACCATGATGGGTTTATATCACCCCCCCAGCCCATTTTGTTGTCCGCGCGCAGATACCAACTACACCTACAGACAAGGCCGTGAAAGCGGAGGAGTTGTTGCGACTGAATCTTCAGTTCGACACTCAGGGAATCCAACAAGTCAGCGTTGGGGAGGAGCTCCAAGACCTTAGTTGCCAGCTCTGAATCACAATATATATATATATATGCATGTAGAACTAAATAATTTTTTGGGGAGGTACTGTATCCCAGATCAGCTATGGCAGCTACAGTATGGTTTGGTGAACGTTGGAGTGCAAGAGTTCAGTAGAAACTAGATGAGAAAAAAACTTGGTTGGAAGCCGAGAGAATCACTTTATCAGTTCTGAAAACTCTATTTATTTTTCCTTGTTTTGCCGTTGGAGCTGAGCTAAGTTAGGATTTATTGGATTTATTGGATCTGAACTTTATCATTTGTTTTGGTCTTCTTATATCTTATTGGATTTTTGGACAATTCTCGATATCAATCCATAGATCCAATAATGGTTAAGATCCAATTTGCCATCGTCAAACATGGCTGGAAAATCACCGAACCAGATGACTGTCCCAGCTAGAAAGCTCCTATGGGATTTTCCAGCCATGCTTGTTTATGCTGGAGATGTTGTTTACGGCCCGGGTGGTTTTGGCTTCTTTTAGGGGTGGACATGTCATAGAAGTATTGCACATTTCATAGAAGTATTGCATATTTCATAGAAGTCATGCACGTTTCATAGAAGTCATGCACGTTTCTTGAAGTTATGCACGTTTCACAAGCCCCCCCAATGACGTTCTTGATAGAACTCTATCTATAGTTACATTTTCTTTCTTGTTGGAACTGCAGTGAGATGTTTGAGGTGACGGCGCCCATGGAGGGGCGGGAGTGTTGTCACTTTTGCACGTTTTTTTTTTGGGGTGTAATAGCGTCCTGTGGTCTGCGTTGTCAGTAACGATTTCCTGCTACGTTGCAACATCTTCTTCAGCTAACTTGCAAGACGTTCCTGATACGTAGCAGCATCTTCTGTAAGTAACTTGCAAGACGTTCCTGATACGTTGTAACATTTTCGTCAAGTAACTTGCAAGACGTTCCTGATACGTTGTAACATCTTCTTCAAGTAACTTGCAGGACGTTCCTGATACGTTGTAACATCTTCGTCAAGTAGCTTGCAAGACGTTCCTGATACGTTGGACCTAACATGGGATCATATGAAATCATGCATCCCACGTACTCTCTGTTCAAGGAAATTAAATGCACATGGGACAACAGCTGCCTTGATGAAACGCTGCCTACTATGGCAATGGTTGCACGAAGTGTTTAGCTCCTGGCTACTGCCTATGGGATCAGTTAGGAAAGCTTTTTAAAAAGCACAACAACAGAGTTGGACTATGGCGTCTCGCATGAAGATGAAAAAAGAGTGACGATTGTCCACTTTCAGAAACGCTGAAAGCGCCACACTTCTACAGGCGCCGTAACCATGTTTGAACCATAGACTCCGGGACTATGTGTATGCCTTTCAATGGAGAAAGAGCAATAAAGGTTGTCTCTGGAAGGCTACGGGGCAGCTGGCACGTCAGGGACAAAAGTGGCGCCGAAATGCAGATCAAATGCTCAGTTGACCAATGAGCAAACCGTCAGGGTCATTATCAACGTCTTGACCTTGTTTATGGAGGAGTTTCATTAATCTCATTGGAATCCCACTTAATCCCATTACATCCGAATATTTGTAGCTAAACATCTCATTACTTTTTCGAGTGGACCCCCACCCACGGACATTCTATCTGACATTTTATCGAACATATTTTCTGAAAGTCTATCTAGCATGCTATACGGCATTCTATCGGAAATTCTATTTTGCAAATATTCTGACATTCTAGCTGGCATTTTATCACATTTTATTTGACATATTCTGACATTTTATCCGGCATTTTTTCTGGCATTCTGTCTGACATACATTTTGGCATTCTGATTCTATCCAACATTCTATTTGACAGGTTGTTTTGCACATGTCCTGACATTCGATCGGGCATTAACTCGGACTTTTTTTGGCATCTATTCTGGCATCTATTCTGGCATTCTCTCTGGCGTCGACTCTGACATTCTATCTGGCATATGTTCGGGTCAGTGCATGCCCAGCCTGAACTGGAGCTCGCTATGGGATTCGGGTTTGTGCGTGCCCAGACTGAGCCGGAGATCGCGATAGGGTTCTGGAGCGAGATTGCTCCACTTGAGCTGGCACTTGCTGTGGGGCAGGTGGGACATTAAATCGCATTATATCGCGATATTTCAAACTAAAAATTACCATCGAATTTCACTAAATCCCATCACATCCCACTAAGTCCCACTTTTTCTTGAACTCTCCATTTTCTGAAACTTTTCTGGGCCGGAAATCAGATCCACGAGATGCACTTCCTAGACTTCCTAGGCTGCAGGAGCTGAAAGGCGAGCTGCAGGAAACCAAAGTCCAAGGTGCTTCGGTGGCCGGTCGTGAAAGATGGATGTTTTTTCTGAGCCATTGACTTACATGCTGTGTATATATATATATACACAATATAGTATACAGTATACATAATATAGCCTTTAAAAAATAGTATATATAATATGGTTTTTATGTATATACATATAGTATATCTATAGATATATAGTTCTTTAATAATATATATATATATTAAAGATAATATATATATATATATTATTTAATATATTTAATATATATATATACTATTTAATAATATATATATAATATATATTATTTAATATTATATATATATTATTTAATATTATATATATTATTTAATATTATATATATTATTTAATATTATATATATATATTATTTAATACTATATATATTATATGCTTTTAAATAATAAATTATGTTGTATATATTTATATATATATATATTCATATTTTTTTAATAATTCACATATATATATATATACATATACACATGTAAATGTATATTTAGATATGCAAACATCTGCGGTTGATCTAAATTCTTTCACTTTCACATGGCAATTCTTCACGCATAAGCAAAAATACTATCGCGAAACTTTGGCGACACCCACTTTTTCTTTCGCGAGTTTCTCCGCTTTTGTGCTGCCGAGACGCGCTCAAGCTGCATGTAAGCAGCAACTGTGTGAGTGATTTGGGAGACAGCTACGGGTAGATGCAGGGCCATGTCGGGATAATCGCACCAGGAAACAAAAGAGTGTCAGTGTTTCCAGGTTCCCTTGACGCTGCAAAGGTGCTGTGTGGGCTATAGGCTTCCATGGACACCTTCTCTTTCACCACCTTTTTTGCGGACCTTTCGCAAACATTCCTTTGCAAATCAACCAACAAAATCCACACCCTGAATCGTAGTTGCGGGTGCAGCCCCACTTGATTGTAAAAAAGTAACAGGGTCTATTCTATTCCTGCCATTCACAATTCAATTCGGAAGGTTCTCACCTAGGTAAACAATATGATAAACCACCTCATCAAAAAAAACTTTGGCGCGGCCTCACGGACGATGGGAGAAAAGACTTTCATGCGCTAGGCTTAGGTCTGGGATTTATGCTTGAACTAAGTTTCCTAAATAACACTTTGATGAACAATCCTTACAAGGATCTCTAGATCAACTTCATATATTTGTTTAAAAATATATGTAAACAACATATATAAACATGAAAAACCAAACAAACGAATCAATAGACTAATAAATACATATGTAGGATGTACACTCGGACGCACACACATAAAAGTAGATCCTGGGCAAGGAAATTCCCAAGAGATCAACAATTTAATGGGAAGAGAGAGACTGGTGCGCGATCTCCTGGTTTTCACTCGCAAATTTCTCCATCAGACCACGGATCACCAGTGGTCTATCAACGGAATGGAACATCTTCATTTCTATGCTTTCACCATGAAGATTCTCAGGGTTATCCGTAACAATACCCGGATTTTCTCAAGGGACACCTGGGGTTTCCAAGGTTTCACCAGAGGTCTCGCATCAAAGTCATGCAGGTCCGTCGCGCACAGCGGAAACCAGGCGAAAGGCCGAAGGGTTTTGGTGCCCACACCCCAAAAGTCTGCCCGAACTAGGGGCTTCACAAATAAGAAACACACCTTCCCACATAATATAACACATAATATATGTACGTATATGTATATGTATATATATATGTATGTATGTATGTATGTATGTATGTATGTATGTATGTATGTATGTATGTATCTATGTATACATGTATATATGTTTACATGTATATATGCATATATGTATACATATATATATACATGTATATATGCATATATGTAAATATGTATGTATGTATATTTGTGTATGTGTATATGTGTATGTGTGTACATGTATATACAGTGTGTGTACAAACAAAAAATATGTAAACAAACAAACAAGCAAACAAACAAACAAACAACCAAACAACCAAACAACCAAACAACGAACCAACCAAACAAACAAACACACGCACACACAAACAAACAATCAATCAATCAATCAATCAAGCAAGCAAGCAAGCAAACAAACAAACAAACAAACAAACAAACAAACACACAAACAAACAAACAAACAAACAAACAAACAAACAAACAAACAAACAAACAAACAAACACAAACACACGCACACACAAACAAACAATCAATCAATCAATCAAACAAGCAAACAAGCAAACAAGCAAACAAGCAAACAAACAAACAAACAAACAAACAAACAAACACACACAAACACACAAACACACAAACACACAAACAAACAATCAAACAAACCAACAAACAAACAAACCAACGAACGAACAAACGAACAAACGAACGAACGAACCAACGAACAAACAAACAAACAAACAAACACACAAACAAACACACAAACAAACACACAAACACACACACACACACAAATATGTGTACATATATATTGTGAATGAACAAATGATCCCAGTCATGTTCTTGCTTTCTTGTCACATGTGCACAGCCTTTCATACATGTTCCATGAGGGTCCAACTCCAGACGTGGAAATCCTCAGCCGCTTTGGCTGACTGGCAGCTCGTGGTGGGAGGGCTGAGGAAGCGCTCGAAGCCATAGGATTGAGGCCAATCCTTTCTGGTTTGCTGAGGACAGCATTTATCGGTGGCATCAGTGCCTTTGGTCTTTCTGCTTGGAAGCCTGACAACATTTACCATCTTGGCTGCTTGTGAAAACGTTTGCGAGTGCGCTGGAGCTGGTGAAGGGGATTTTCTACCAGTGTGGAGCGATTCACACTGGTAGCGGAGCTACCCAATAAAGCTCCAGGGGACCTTTGATAACATCTGGTGGTTTTTCTGAATGTCTGAGGAAACTGCAACAGCAGCTTCGACCGATGGGAACACTGCTTCATCGAATCACATGGCCACACTGGTGCCAACATTCGATCCGTCAAAGGATGACTTAGAACAGTATACGCAAAAGGTAGAACTGCTTAGTGAGATTTGGCCTGCAGCAAAGATCAATGAGTTGATCACTCGCCTCATCTTGAACACAAGTGGAACTGCTTTTCAGAAACTTCAACTGAACAAATCTCAGTTGATGACAAATGACAAGAAAGGAGTGCAACTAATGGTCCAGCTCCTTGGCGGCCAGTGGGGAAAAGTCAATTTGGAGAAAAAGTACGACATTGTGGAGAGAGCACTTTTCCGTTGCCTTCAGAAACAAGATGAATCCAACGATTCTTTCCTAGCCCGTTGTGACGTTGTTTGGTCTGAACTTCTAGCCAAGAAGGTGCAGTTGGAAGAAATTCAATCGTACATAGTCCTCAGAGGGTCTCGTTTGAGCACAGAGGATAAGAAACGTGTCATTGTCGAGAGTGAATCATCGTCAAGTGGAGCTTTGAACATGGAGAAGGTCACACAATCTGTTCGCATGCTGGGTACTTCATTTTTCAATGAGATGATTGGTCAAAAGGCCTCCAAGGGCGAGATTTATGAATCCCAAGTGATGCTAGCTGAAGATCAAGATGACTTTCAACATGATGGGTCTGCATACGCAGCTGATGAATATACCGAGGATGAGTTTGTAAGTCAGTTACTGCAAGATGATGATGAAGATGCAGCCTTGATTGCCGACTATGAATCGATGGCCGCAGATGTGCCGCAAGGAGACAGTGACCTTGCTGCCACATACAACGCATACGCAGATGCCAGGAGAAGACTCTCCGACCGTTTCAAGCATAGAGGATTTTGGCCAGTAGGTCAAGGCAAAGGTTCAGGCAAACCGTCCGCACCAAAGGGCAAAGGGAAGTATCTCAACAAGGGTTCCAAGAAAAGTCTTCAACAGAGGATCCTTGAAAGCCATTGTCGATTGTGTGGTAGGAAGGGTCATTGGCGTGCGGAGTGTCCCGACCGGACACGTTCGAATGCATCAACTGGTTCCACGAATACATCAGCAGCCATGACCGTTTCAGCAGTGTCCCAGTCCATGGAAGAGTCCGATGCGCTTCCAATGGAGTTCATGCAGCTTCCGATGGTGCATGAGGAAACCCTAGATGTTCCCAGTTGGCAAGAAATTCATGTTGTTGTTTCATCCATGGAGGAAATTCGGGATAGACTCCGTAAGTTGGGTAAACGGGGTAAAGGGGAAGATAATCAAAACCCGAATGAAAGCCTGCCCAGGAATGAACGAATCACAGAGCAACCTGAGAGCCGTTTTGTGGCATCCGTGAGAGAGCAGCCAGCAGTAGCATATTTTTCCACGTATGGCACTTGTGGCATACTTGACACAGGTGCGTCGAAGTCAGTGATGGGTAGCAAATTGCTACCTGCCTTACTTGAGGGCCTTCCAGTTGAGATGAGACAGCAGGTGTTCAGGACATCATGTGACATCACCTTCAGATTCGGAAATCAAGGTACCTTGGATAGCCAACATGCCTTAGTTATCCCCCTAAAATCTGTAGGTCTGGGTCTCAAGATTGCAATCGTGCCTGGCGAAACACCGCTGCTGCTGTCCAACATACTCCTGAGGACTCTCAAAGCCAGTTTGAACAGCGAGCATCACACGTTGTCCAGTCCTTTGTTGAACCAGGTTGTCAAACTTAAGCTGAGTCCCAGAGGACTACATGCTTGATCTGATAGATTTGCTTCGTGCCCAGAAGGATTTGCAAGGACCTCGTGATGCAATAATGGCCGAAACTTTCATGAGCAGTGATTTTTCCAGCGAAAACCAGCAAGCTGAAACGTGTCAGCCAAGCCTCAGTGAAAGTCAAGGTAACAGTTTGAAGTCACTTTCAACACCAACAGGCCCAGGTACACAGGGACATGTTCACATGACCAGCCGAAGCCAGGGCAGTGAGTGTAGTTTCGAATGTACAGAGATCTCCCAGCCCAAGCCACCATCAACCGAGTTTCTCCACCTTGTTGCAAAGGTAAATAACTGTGATAACCATGAGCCAACATCGTATCACCTTTGGTCGCCCTCACGTCGGGAAAACATTTGCAGAGATGTGGGATCAGGAGAAGTCATGGATGAAATGGTTCGCCAAGACTCACGCCAGCAGCACCAAGCCCGAGCACCTGACAGTACTGGCTTATCAGGAAAAGGTGTTGGATCAGTACGAGGAGAGCCATGGCATGGTGCCTCTGAGGAATCCCGAAGATCTGCAAGGGGTGATGTTGCCTCGATCCAAATGCATGCCCAAGAGCAAGGCCATGCCGGCACATCAAGTGCCTGTAGAGGTGATCGAGGAGATTGTGGATCCCAGCGACCCGTGGGATGTCATGGACTACACAGCACTGCAACAGGACCAGACCAACGAGATGATCGAGGCACTCCAAGCTCGAGTACTGAACATGGAAGGTGCCATCAGCGAGATCCTAGGACATCTCCGTCAGGGGAAGTGAATCATGCTCTTCGGATGTTGTGCCAGGCTGGTGACATTGATGCCGAGTTTGAAAATAACCCAACTGCAGAAGCCCATTTCAGTACAAACACACCAAATCACTTACACTACAAATTCCATAAACTTGTTCAACAGTTTACCAGCGAATTGAAGTCAATTTCACAATCATGTTCCCAGAAAGGCACACCAATTCAAGTCTTGGAAGTCTTTTGTGGACCTCAGAGTGAGCTCACCAAGCAAGTCAATAACTTGGGGTATAAAGGGGTTAGGCATGGTTTTCAAGAGGGTAACCTTGCAACTGAATCCGGCCGAGCCGTTCTTTTTACCAAGTTAATTGAGGGGCAACCTCGAAGTCTCTGGTATAGCCCTACATGTAGTCCTTGGTGTGCCTGGAGCGCAATGAATGCCGCGCAGACTGAGGCAGGGTTCAAGACAATCCAAGCTCTCCGAGAGCAACATATGTACCAACTGGCATTGGGCATTGTGCTTTTCCGTTTCCAGAGACAGAATGGCAGACACATGCACTGGGAGCAACCTGCTCGATCTCATGACCAGGTCTCCGATGTTGCGTGAAGTAATGGAAAACACATACCTTGCCCAATTCGACATGTGCAGAGTAGGAGGCATGCGTGACCCTGTCAACCAACTTTTGTACAAGAAGGGAATGGAAATCCTTACCACGTCCTATCAATTATACAGCCAACTTCACGGTCGTAAGTGTAACCACCTTCATCAACACCAAACACTTGAGGGAGAAACAATGTTCAAAGGTCACCGCATGAGAAGAACTGAATTTTCTGAGAATTACACCCGAAAGTTTGCCCGAACGTTGGCCCAAGTGCTTACCAAAGTCAAGATGATTAAGGAAGCACCACTGCATGTTGCCGAGCATGAACCTTCGTTTGCAGGCTCAGGAGCCAAGAGAAGATCCGTTTCTGCCGGTGTCCAAAGTGCCAAACGAGCAAAACTGAAAGAGGGTAGCATAAAAAGTGTCTTGATCAACCCAGAAATGTTGCCGTCCAAACGTAGGAGACTTTCTGGAAAGACCCAAAGTGATGATACCCCAAAAGTGTTGTGTGAACAAGTTTGCAACAGGGTACTTGAGATCATGCCGAAGGTTGGACGCAAAGAGATCAATGACCCTCAAGTAAAATCCATGTTGCAAGAAATGTTTGGGGATAAACAAGT